GTGGAAGCTAATAACACGATAATCTCTTTAGCCATGTCTTCGTACCTAATCGACGACATGCTATAAGCAGACGTTACTGTTTTCCTTTTTCCTGGCACTGAAGAGTCAACTAAAAGGATAGAAGAAAATCGTTGAGACATTACCCAGTCGGCGGAGATAAATGGGCTCTATTCGAAACCTCGCATCTTCTGACATCATAACTCAGACTTTGTCCGGCTGGCTGTCCCGCAGATGTCGTCAACTTCTTTCTGTGTGGCTGCGTCTCTGTATCGATAGAAGGGTAATTTATTTAATGAAGTTAATCAGAAAATCCGAGAAAAGATTATTCAAGGCTTAGTGATAAATTTTATCATTAAAGAACTATCGTGGCAGAGAATAATTAATAGCTGAAGAAGTAGAAGCTTTTATTTAAATCAATAATTGTGAATAAGGAGCAATTAATTATTCTTAATCTTAATAATATATTATCAGTATATATTTCTGTCACTATTATCTAGCTCTTTAAAACAGTGCTAATGACTAGAGAATAATGGATTCATATAGATTGGTAATTCTATACTGCGTTGACTAGCAATTACACGGCGGAATCATCGCATCAGTATACTATTTTGTCCATTAAAAGCTATGAAAGTTTGAATATGATGATTTAGTCATTCGTGATGGTATATTTATTTTCAGGAACTGTAAAAACGAGCAAACGAATCAACCAAGCAAACTTCGTTCAGACAAAACCAGGCTTAACTAAAATAGTGGAGGAAAATGATATTTAATCGGTGAATCGTCTGGAAATGGGTCGTCTGCAGTTTTCGAATTTCAGAACACGACTTTTAAATACATTCCTACGTGGTTGGATTTTGTCAGTTAAAATTTTTATTTTAGTAGAAAATTTCTCTAAAAATTTTTAATCTGGCAGATCTCAGTAAACTCAAAATCATTTTTTATTTTGGAAACTCTTAGTGAGGAAATGTGAGGTAGCCAAATCATGTTGACAGTATTCGAAGAGAAGATACTGGGATTAAAAGCTTAAGGTTATTTGTGGATTATTATGAGTTTTCGCATCTGTAATTTTTTTTTAATTGCATTATTTTATACTTTGTAATTTTTGTAAATACTCATACATTTAAATCTTGGTGCTTTTGATTATATATAATTACGTAATCAAAAATGGCAAATGAACCTTTTGAGAATTCATACTTAAATTGCATAGTTGATTTGGAGTAAGTATTGACTACACATTGAAATTTCCAATTTTTGGCTAAATTTCCAACTTTTAATGGGAGTTATATTCATTTCGTCTGTGTGGTAAAATATGAAAGTATCGGTAAGTAACTATCGCTAAACTAACTTTAATTTACCGATAGTCCTTTTATTTATGGTCCCTATCTGGATTCTGAAGTGCGTCATCTGGAAAACTAATCTGCATTATGTCATGTTATTACTCCTGCAGTGCGGTAAGCTGTTGTCAAATCACCGTTCAAAATTTAAACAAAGTAACCAACTCTATAAAAACCCCTTTGCTGAAATGCGCACATACTTCGCTCTCTTATTTCGCTATGTTTGCACGTGTCATTCTTCTCTCCGCTTCATCTTTTGCCTCGAGATGTTGCTTGCCGTACCCATATTGATGTGTTGTCAAGAATATGTGTCTTCAGAATTAGTTACCAAGAAATAAAATTGTGTCTTGTTACCTATGCCAACATATGCAAGTTTCTTCGTCTCCATTATTATGTTATCTTATGGATTTACGCTGTCTTCCAATTCTCAAGTCATCTACAATATTATTACACACATATATACTATATAAATTAATCATTCATGGGGCATTGGTTGAATTAATTTTAAAAATCTACAGGATTTCGGATTTTAACGTTAGCTTAATAGAGTTTGTTAAGGTTTTTTTTTGTTCTCGCTGAGCTCGCAATCTAGCCGTTCGGCATTATTGCTCTCACTCCTGGTTGAATTAATTTAAAAAGACTGCAAGGTTTCAAATTTTAACCTTTGCTTAACAGGATTTGTTAAAAGTTTTTACGCTCTCGCTGAGCGCGCAGTCTAGCCGTCCGCTATTGTTGCTCTCATTCCTGCTAGCCATTTTTTTGAGCTCAAAATGGACGAAAATCCCAAATGGAATATTAGTCTCAAAATGGCATCTTGCGTTGAATCACTATAAACGGCTTATCACTTTTCTAATTGTTGCCACTAAATGTTATCGACTTGTATATGTTTAAAGAAATTAAATAATGAAGAATCTGTATGAGTGTACACATGTTTCTCGCATTGTGAAAAAAAAATCTGATGTGCGTACCACATGACTTCCTTGTACAGAATGTTAAATTGTACCCATTTTTTTCTTGCATTTCATTTAAACTTATTAGATTGAATTAAATCTACTTCTTCGATAGCGCATAAACCACAATAGAATAAATGCACCCTTTAAAATTCACTATATTTTGTTTACCATAGCGACACTCTGGCCCTAGGTTCACTTAACAGCGTTACATTTCATTCATTTTTTAACTCAGAATTCACAACATTTATATCATCTTAAGAATTATCTAATTATTTCCACGTGTTCTTTTCAAATACTATAATAAATCTAAAACGGTGTATAAAAAGAAATTAAGCAAAGAACAACAACAACAACAAGAAACAATTTTTCACAGACGATTCAGTATTTCTCATTCAATTAATTCAGTTATGCTAGTAATAAAGAAAGTAAGTTATTGTGAAACTTACTTTCTCTAGATTGGCAACAAATCTACTATTCTGCTGTTTCAAATGTAAACAAAAACAAATCTACTATTCTGCTGTTTCAAATGTAAACAAACAATGGCCGCCATGGAAAAACTTATTAGGCTTACCACCACTTAAACAACTTTTAAATTCCTGATAATTCTAAAAATATTGCATACAGATTTACTACAGGCATAAAAACCTTAACGGGAAGATAAGAACAACATAATTCAATAATTTTTAAAGCAAAAAATGCACAATTCACAAACATCATCTACATGTTACAGCAGTCCTATGTACAAAATTTCAACGTTCTGAGGCTACTCGTTTTCGAGTTATACGGGATACATACGTACGCACAGAGGCCATGAAAAAATCTCTTCAGAATTCATTTAAAATTAGTTTTACAACTTTTTCGGGGGGAAAAGAGTCCTTTATCCTGTCCTTACGTACAGATGTCACGCAAAAACATCGTTAAATTGCATTCGATAGCGGTGAAAATGGATATTTGCGTTGAAATATAATGCCTCAAACTTTTCGCGATTACAATACTTCCTTCTTACTTCGTACAAGGAAGTTAAAAAAAAAAAAAAAAAAAACAAGATACCTAGAGCCATTAAATTTTGTATAAAGTAGCATATCTTTCAAGGGGGTTCTGTAACCGCTAGGAGATACATGGACGAGGTATTGGAACTCCAGGTTAGACTGCTTGGGAGTGCTTTTAGCTCAGAGGTTTTGCTGATGGACGACAATCCTCGGCCTCGAGCATATGTTGTGTTAGAATACTTGCAAACTGAAGGTATTACTTGAATGGATTGGCCACCTTACTCATCCGTCTTGAACCGGATTGAGCATGTGTAGCAGTAATTAGACTACCTAATTTAAGCACGCCAAATTCCTCCCCGGACCCTCGAGAAGTTGAAAAGTGCACGTTTAGAAGAGTGGCATGCAGTTCTACAAGACTTGATACACATTTTGATAAAGTCTATGAAATGAAGGTGTGAGGTATGAATGTCCGAGGTGACCATACACCATATTAAAGAAAATTTGCAAGAGTTGACTTAATTTTACCATGATTTACCAATTTTCATAAATCTGCTTTTAATTTAAGTATTTTGTGAATAATTAACTGCGAAACATTGTAATTTATGTTAATTAATGCTTTTGTACAAATTTCTTTCAATAACTTTTCAATTAAGTATCAGTTACGTTTTACTTCTGTCCTTATATGTTCTTATCCTTTAATTTTGATGACCAGTGAAATACATTTATTCTCAAAACAAACTATATAACTTTAATTGAATTCAGATTAAAATCATCTAACTTTGTGCTAGAAAAAAGGGGGGGGGAGAAGTAAAATATTTTAAATAAAGGATTTAGAAGAATATTTTACTATACATTCTTAGTATAAATTATTATTTACGTTTCTTAATTTTGCGTCAAGAACTAATTATTATATAAAACTTAGGTACTTTTCTTAGTAAAGTTGCTATGAAAACTTTATTGAACTTGTAACTGTCGAGTGAAATAACAATTTGCAAGATTACTAAATTATTATATTGATTTTTTAAAGAAAGCTGTTGCTTGTGTTCTAACACATTTTTTTTCCTTTTTGAAAGCAGAAACGTAAAACGTTTCAAGTTCTTCATTCTTTGTAAGCTGAAAAGCTTTAAAAAATTCTTTTTTTAGAGGGTATAAATGAAACGCCATGAGTAAGGTGAAGAACATAGATTTCAAAAGAAATATTTAAGGTGTAGCTGATTCTTTAACTATTACTACTCGTACTGCAGTCTTAACCGGTACTGCAGTCTTTAACGTTTTTTCTAGCTTCCATGGCTGGAAATGTTTGACCATAAAATTGTCCCCCTCAAAGTTTCGTCCTAAAATATTATGTATAATGAAATCTGTAAACAAAACTTGTGTATGTTTTACTAAATTAATGGCTATCCACTTTTTGGCGTGTGAGATTACACCTTCAATTATGCGACTATGCATTAAAAGATCCTATATTACTAAATTTAACTTGACAAGCTTTATTGTTGATTCAAAATAACTAAGAGGTTTTTAGAATCTGGATAAGAAACCTGAAATTATTTCATATTTAAAAAGCATGAATATATGAAGAACGTTTGAAAGGGAGATTATACTGGAATGGAATTCAAATCAGCCTCATTACAATCAGGTCTCTGAATATAAACGATGTATAAACAGGTGACTGAACTACGATTCGTGAGTAGCAATAACTAATAAGATGTTACTTTTTTTTTCAGACTATCAAAAGACTACCTTGAACTTTACCAGCCAAATATGGGCGTTGCATCACAAGCTGTTATTCTTTTCGTCATCACGATATTGGGACTTTCTAAGGTAAATCCCCTGCTTTTGAACTCACTTTTAAATTAGCATTAGCTATTTTACCATGCTTCGCAGATTAAAACGATTTATCGATAACACTACTAAATGTAAGGACACAGAATATATGGTGTGACGGATCTGTATGTTAGAAATTAAAAACGAATAAAAATGAAATATTTCTGCTAAAACATCATAACTATACGTGCAAGAATATCTCTTTTCTAGAAAAATCAAAATTTTTTGCTTATTGTACAGAAGTTAACAAATATGGAATGTTTTTAGTTAAATTTTATTTATTTATTAGCCTAAAGCGGCAATTTGCCCAGAAGGGCTGTTAATTTCGTTTTGACACTTTTCAAATTTCAGCCACCAAATATTAGAGCTCTGCATTATATTTAAAGAAATTAATTAATGAAGAATCTGCATGAATATATATATATATATATATATATATATATATTGTTTATTGTTTCTCACATTGTGAAAAAATAACGGTACGGAGAGACATCAAATATTGAATAACGTAGTCCTCCTCTCAAATATAGGCATCTGGAAGTCATAATTTGGAATTTGTTTCATTATCTATTTCATATTTTATAAAACTTTAACGACTTTTTTATTAACAAACTCAACGATGTCAAAACGTTCTATTAACAGCGTGCATCCTCAAACACGGATATTGTATGTCTCAGGTTTTTTACATTTCTTACTGGTATCATATTGGTATAGCAATGCTTTATCATAAGGCATTGCAATGTCTTTATTTAACGTATTATATCACATTTCAGATCCCGTTTTTAACCCCCGTGAAAAAAAAAAAAAAAGGCTCCTTTTGAACCCAGAAGGGCTATTAGTCTCAAAACGGGATTTTGCGTTGAATCACTATAAAATTCTGAATCACTTTTCATATTTTTTATTTATTATTTCGCCTATTATATGATGAGATTTATTTTTCATTATTCTGATTCAGATCAAAAGTGATTAAGTTTTCCAAAGCTAAAATTTGGGCCATTTGAGAAATCTTTGCAGTGTAATTTTTACTTTCTATTATTTAGTTCTTCTTCATTTCTGTCACATAAAATTCAGATTAAAATTTTTTTAACTACAAAGAATTTCTTTTATGCTTATTTTTTTAATTGATGGTGATGGTGCATCAAATGTTGCAATGATCAAGTATATCGGTGGTTTAACATGAAGATCTGGTCGATTCTTGACGGTAGCTCTCTGAGGTTTATAACGGAATCCCTATTCAAGATTTTAATGTCTCTGGCAAAGTGATTTAGGAATTATAAATCAATAATATAATTGTTTCTCAACATATTTAAAGCGATTTAATTTCTTTATTCAGAACTTAAGGAAAAGCCAAAAAGGTTATCTAGCAATAATTGGTTACAAATGTAAGTTGTTTAGTGCTGCTTTGAACCGATATATTTGAAAATTTCATCTTTTGTTTTCATTTTCATATTATTCAGTTTCCTTTTTTCTTGTATGCAATGATTCCTTTTATATATCTGTTTCGTAACAATAATTATTTTTCATACTATATGTGCAATGTTTTATTCTTCATAAAGTTATGTCATTTAAGGTAAAGACGCTACCTAAGAATGGTTCAGTTTTACTTCATTTCATTATAACTGATTGTTTTCGTTTCAATTATCAAAATTAACACTTTTTTTAGCTGAAGCATTATACATTATCAAATACCTGCATCAGTAGCGTTATGTAAGAATCATATGATCTGGATTAATATTGAAATGGCGCAATTTAGAGAGATTTATGATAAATAGTTTCTTATTTTCAGAGTAGAAAAATGAAATAACCGAAAGGAATGTTAAGGGACTATTGAAAATTAAAGTTATAATTTTGTTTTACCTATTCTTTTATCTTAAATATATAAAAGAACGAATAATATTTTTGAATTAAAATATAGCTTTTGCCATAAATTTCGTTATCGACTAAATATAAATCTATTAAATTTATTTGCACTGAAATTCTGAAGTTTAAAAGTAAACAAAAGCTTCTGTTATCAGAATTAATTTTTTTCTTTTTTTAAATAGCAAGTTTAAGAAATGCCAGCGAAACGAAACTAAGTATGTAAACTTTTAAGTAACTTTATAAGCTGTCTTAATTCTTCAATTTTCCTTTCTTATAAATTTATTGTTTTTTATAATATAAAATAATTTAGTGTAATGAACCAAATACTGGTGGTATAAAAAAATTGAAATCTTTTCAAGCTGTGTAAAAGAAAAATAATAAAATGCTTGAAAATAAAAGTACTTTTTAGTGAAATAAAGAATATATTTTCTACGTAATGTCTTCTTACACTAAGTTCAAACTTAGCTGATGTTTAATTTTTAGGACTTCCTGAGTGAAATAAGAGACATTTTCGTGAGGGGTTTTACATAGACTTCTTCTAGTATTTCCATTTTATACTGGGGGAAAGTCATCAAACTAGCGTGCGACCAATTCATTCAGTGGCCGGGAGGCAAAACTAACATCCTTACGGCTTTAGCCATTTGAAATCTGGTGAGCCTTTAAAAACACGAATATGTTTGTAGAGACATTAGGATTTTTGATGCTGAGAGACGGGAAAAATGAGCAACGCCTTCTCTGGGACTCGAACCTCGGACCTCTCGAAAATGCGCCGAGCATGCTGACCGTTACACCATGAAGGCATGCTAAGAAGGCGGGAGAAATACCTTATATGTTATTGTACTGTTAAGTACTGAAAAGCCTCGGAGCTCTGCTGTAAAACCAAAAGCATTAAATACGGGTTTTACATGTATCTCGCGAGTGAATTACTAAATCTTGCAAAAGGTTGAGATTTTAAATGTATTCAGACGAAAGCAAAAATTTAGAAATTTTAAATTTAAATCTCGGGAGGAGCATATTTTCAAAGTATTCGAATTGCATTTTATTTATTATAATTTTATTTATTTTATTCGAATTGCATTTTATGAGAAAGTCAACTCAGATTTATTACTGTACTTCAAAGGAGTTCTAAGTTGTTTCGAACAGAGAGCATACCTAAATTGAAAAGAAAAACCTATTAACATAATTTTTCATCTGCGCTATATGATAAGCATTAAAAAAACTAGTTGAAAGTGCATAAATTCTTATCCTTTATTAAAACTTAATTATCAAAAACATAAAGAAGCAGCGTTAAAAAAAGTTTATGTTTGTTTTATTAAGTCAAGCAGTACAAATCTAGAGGGCGAAGCTGAGAGATTCATTAGAAGTAATTGCCTTTCTAAATGACTTTTCGCGTGGTAATTAAACATAAATAATTACTAGTGTAATCCAGACGAGGTCACATTAGTTATAGTAAATTGGGTTTGAATATCGCGGAAGAGAACAGTGATTTACTTAAAAGATCTTGTTGCTAACGCTTTCTTTCAAGTATCGATTATAATACAATTGAGTATCTCATCAATTATTTCGTCGAAGCATCGAGTTACGTGAGGTAAATGCAGATGCCTAGTCTTAAATTTCGCAACACTGGGGTCCATTTTTCTTTTGATGTTAGCGCAGAATATACTCATCTATTATCACATTCCGCCTTGCGATTAACACAGAACTTTTATCTTTCAAGTATAATAAATCTGAATAAAGTCTTAGAAGTTGTTATAGTTTGAGTTTGCTTTCAGATTAACAAATTTTCACGTTAAGAATTTTTTTAGGAGTGCTTGATTGTTCATTTTATTAATTTTATGTATTCCTGCGCGTCTGTATAATGTAAATATAAAAAAAAAAAAATATAACATCTCTAATCGATTATTTTAGTTATCTATGGAAGTGATTTGTACGGAGGTGGTTTGGCCACTACGTTTCACCCAAAGTGGAATGTTATTGCAATTCCAAACAATTTAAAGTGATGTTTATTCTTGATAACGCACCCGATCATTCGTCTGCCGCTTTGATTTCAACCTGACGTTCCAATAATTTCCCCCTCGAAATATAACAAACTTGCTTCAGCGATTCGCCAAGGAGTCATTGAAACATTCAAGACATTGAAGACATAGACATTATAGAAGACAGTCATTTGCGTACTGAATACTGAATAACTGTATTAAAGCAAGACATTCCACTATCTATAAGAACTTTAGGACACAGTTAATGTTTCACACACAGTGCAATGTCACAGTGTAATGTCATTTTGCATACAGTATTAAAGCAATGTAAAACTTTAGGACACAGTGTAATGTCACAGTGCAATATCATTTGCGTACTGAATACTGAATAACTGTATTAAAGCAAGACATTCCACTGTCTATAAAAACTTTAGGACACAGTGTAATGTCATTTGCGTACTGAATACTGAATAACTGTATTAAAGCAAGACATTCCACTGTCTGTAAAAACTTTAGGACATAGTGTAATGTTTTGCATGCTGTAAGAACTATAAAGGAATCTTAATGAAATTTTCCAAAACATTTTGAGTGGCGTCTGGAAGAAAATTTGTCCATTCTTTTTCAGAAGCCAGGAATAAAACGAAAGTAATTGATCAAATCGCGCATGTAATAGAAGAACTTGTCATTCTTGACAGGTAGTTAGATTTGGAAACTAATAGTCATGACCTCGAAGAACTGTCGGAAATATATAGGAATGAGCTGACATTAGATGAATTTATAGAGATGCATGAGGAAATCGCTACTGAAGAAACCGATTTCTAAGACTTATAAGTATTCAGAATCATTTATGGTGATTCCAAACGTGACAAAATATGTCGGCTCAAGTGGAAAAGAGTTGCGAATTTTGGAAAACAGATTCTAACAAGGAACGCGTTCTGGCTACAAGGCAAGGAATAAAACTGTAAATAATTAGCAAGGCAACAAATGTAAATTAGCGTGCTAATGAAGCAATTTTACGTGATTAAAAAAGCCTTGAGTCCAGTCTGTTAAATTTTTGAAGCCATCGGTATGGAAATAACTCTTATTTTATGTAGCAAATATATTTTAATACTATATCATATATTTATTATTACATGCTTTTTTAAACTAAGTTTTTTAACTGTTTCTACCATTAAGTTAATATTTATTTATATGCCGACTTCATCGGTCTCACCTAACGCGTAACTTTGGCCTATTACTGTGTAGTTGTTCATGAAGGTCAAGAAAATATTTTGAAAGAAAATTTCTAACATAAAATTTGCTCCGTTGGGGACACATCATAAGCAATCAACGTTGAAGTCAGTTCTTTTGTATGTAAATTAAAACATATTACACAAAAGATAAATACATAATATATTCAAGAAATATTATGAAGTAACATCATATGTAGTTTATTATAATAAAATTGATATATGATAATGTTTTTAGTTGACTGAATGAAATAATTTGATTTCTGAATCTTGCGCAAAGCACTAGACTAATTTTTGAGCTTCGTCATTTGCGTTGGAATGTATCTGCATCAGCAAGATCAGCATTTTCCGAGTTTTGTGTTTTCCTAAATGAAGGTTTCAAAACGTAGTTTCGAAGAAAATCATGAAAGCACTTCATTCACTATTATACTGTCTGCGACCTTGCCGTCCACTGGCTGTTGCCACAGAAATTTACATAATGCAAAAGTGGTTTTAATATTTCGCTTGGACTACCATGTATAATTAAAGTCATGAAAGTGCTGATTATATGAAGCTTTTCCCTTTATTCTAGCGCTTTTGTTCATAAGAAAGTGAGAAACTATATACAGATACGTAAAATATATTTCAAATATGAAGTTTTCTCAGCGTACTATATAAATCAACAAAAATTAAATTATTTTCTAATGCATTAGTTTCTTCCACAGTGAAAGATTTCTAAATAAAATACTGTAGAAGCTCTGGTAAGTTTTTTTTTTTTTTTTTGTTTTTTTTTTTTTTTTTTTTTTTTTTTTTTTTTTTTTTTTTTTTGAAATTACCTGTTGGAAACTAACATCATTAAAATTCCATTCATAATGGATTCTTAGAAAGGAATTCTTGTTGCTTAAACCTTTCTCATCGTAATTAACGGCATTTGCTTCTTTTTAATCATTAACAAAAGAAGATTACTCTTCGAAAACGGTCGCAGAGGAGCGTATTGTCTCGTTTTTGTTTATTAAAAGCGAAGTGCGCTAGAAGTATTCTGCACCGCTGTGTAGTAGTCTTCGTTTTCAGAGTTTCAAATTATTCACATTCCAGGAAAATACTATGACCTCTGTTGGCAATAATACGGAAGAAAGTTTACAGCAAGAATTCTACTTCTTGATATCTTATGAAAATCGTAGCAAAAGTTATGTTTTTTATGTTGGGTATGAAAGTTATTGCAGAAAATATTTTCATGTTCGGCCCCTTCTCCTCCCTCAAAAAAAGTAAAGTCTGTAGCATTAAAGATAATTTATAGTGCTTTAAAACATAATTTGCAAGAATCAATGTTATGTAAAAGCATTGTTTTTTCATTGCACTATGATAAAATCGAATGGTATAAAGTATTTTCTATCTCCTTTCTGCATGCCTTCGTGATGTTAGGAAAGTTATTACTAAGAAAGGCGCCTATTCAAGAGGTCTAGGTCCGAATCCCAGCGAGGGCATTACTCATTTTTTCTGTCTCCTGCTTTTAAAAAAAAATACTAATTAAGCATTACTAGGACACATTGCAAGGAAAGTTGGTTAATTCATTACTTCTCGTAATAGTTTGATTGTTAGGGATCATCTTTTGGGTTTTCATTTGGGAGGTAAACACACGAATATTTTTGTTTTCATGCGGACTGCCACATAATCAAAGATTACTGTGAGACATACGTACCATCAAAGGTTGTTATGAAGAATATATGTCGCGGCAGTTAAAGATTTTTGCAAAACTTGTGTACCGTGACAGTAAAATTATGTTATTATAAAAAATAAAAATATTTTTTTTTATTTTCTTCCCGATATTTTTATTTCTTAATGAATGACAAATATCATAACCGCAACAGAGTGCTTTGATTTAAAAGGTAGAAGCTAATATGTAATAAAATGGGAAATAAAAGCAGAAGTGTAGGCAATATAAAATCTGATAACACGGAAATCAAGTCCTATATTTCTGTCATTCTGCTAGTATTACTTTATTTTGCAAATATTATTCTATTTTGATGATAGGAAATCAGTTGAGCTATTCAGTACGTTCGTAATTTCGTTCACTACTTACACTACAATAGAGTTACTACAATAAAATGCTTAATGTCACTTCCATCACATGAGGAAGTTTGTAATAAGAGATTAATACTTGGAAGCTTGACACATGAGAATTTGTGGCATGGAAAGAATATTTTGAGCTTTTCAAACAAGTTTATGGTGCTAAACGTGAATGATTCTCTACGTGAACTACTAACAAACAATAACGATTGTTGCATTCAATCTTGCGACATTCACTTGATTTCTGGTATTTAAACGTTACTGCATTTTAATTAAGAATAATTTTAAATTGGTTACTTTAGTATATAAAATAATTACTAAATTTTTTTCTAATAACTCATAGCTTTAATTAAATTTCTTTTCCTTGGAAATTAATAATAAATTATGATTAATAAATTAATCATAATTTCTATGATTATAAATTATTATTAATAAAGCAAACTTTCTCTGTAATTAAAGTGGCGTAGCAATATTGATGGCATAGAAACGTCCATAATGAAGTGCAAGAATTTTGATTGCATAGGAAGTTGATCCATAATTAAAATAGAAACAGACATCAGACAGACGATGCAGATTAAATTTTCGTTTTTATTTCAGTAAACATGTTGTTGACACAAACAATTTGGTACATTACTTGTGTCCATTTTAAAGATGTTTATATTTTTGATAGATATGCAATAAGAAGAGAGCAGCAGAGAGAGGAAATTAATTGAAGCATTAAGAGGCTATTGCAAATTTAAATCATAATTTATCTTGTAATATTTTTATTGCTAATTTAAATTTAATTAATTTATTGCTAATTGAATAGTTAATTTATTGTTATTAAATAAATATATATTTGTTGATATTTAATAATTAATTTATTGCTAATTTAAATTTTTTACTGCTAATTTTAATTTTTATTGCTAATTTAAATTATAATTTATCTTGTATTATTTTTTTATCTTACATATGTATATTTTTCTTTTTGTAAGGTGAACGGGTATTCCTTGGCAGCATCAGAATGTCGATCACCTTCAGACTGTGGCCCTGGAGAGTGTTGCGTTCTAGGTATGTGTATTTTATTTTGATATTTAGAAGATAATTTAACAATAAATGCTGTACTTATTTCACTACACATGATCCAAACGGAAGACCGCAGGCACATACTATTTTATTTTTAAATTAATGGTTCCACGATATGCATATTAGTTTTATAACTTACGATGTTGCGATGGCCCCAACTTGTCAGCAACAGTAATAGTGACTGCTATGAACTGCAAAGTACACAAACTCGTAAGAAGGGTTTAAATCCCTTTTTATTTCACTTTAGAAATCACAGTTGCGTTCACTTGACGCTCGCAAACTACGCCGACCCGGCGGTGTAACAAAATAGAAAAGTACAACTAAAAATAAATGACAGGATGAATAACTAACGAAATCACTATCTACGAGGCTCTATATTCGTAACTAACTTAACCGCGTTCTAAGATACAGCTGAGATTCAGCAAACTTACTGATTAAGAAGTTGAAAGATTCAACGAACTGCCGAAATAGGCACACAGGCCGAAACGCGCGGTTCTTAAAATTTCTACCAAGCAACCGTCACGCTCGCGATTCAAGAAGCATACTTACAATCTCGTTTCCCTTCTATTTAACTCAATTTACTTCTGCTAAAAATTTGAATACTCTGCGCGTTCTACTACGATTTACATACTCTGGCATTGGCAATTCTAGGGGAAAGTAAAGGCTTGACAGGAAAGATAGCTTAAACTTAAAATAAATGTTAGTTAAAATAAATATAAACCCTACAAACTAATAAAATTTAATGAATAGATTAAATATAACGAACTGTAGCACGTCTTAACTTAAAGTCATGAAATTTACCAAATTTAACATTATAATGAAGCGAGCTAGAAGAAAATAATCATTTCGAAATTCTGGTGTAAATACAGTAAATAATACACAACTGTTTCTAGTTATACGTCATAAAATATGTCTATTACAGCATGCATTACTTTAACAGAAACTTAGTCAGTCATAGAACAATTTCTGCCATATTGGTATTTTCTTAATACGTGTCGAATATAAATATGTGTTGATACGTGTTGAATAAAGCTTATTCAAAATGTTCCTTACGCGTTGAGGTTTTAATTCACATTCCTTGTTTGTTGTCTTCAGATATGAAAGGACAAAAGCATATCCCAAGATAACAGCGTCTGAAATCATTTAAATAACCGAAAGTGAAGGTTTAAAAATTTAAATGCTGCTATGCTACTCGTCTTATTAAGACGAATTGTATTTGAAATGCTTTTGCCAGTTGCATGGAGCAAAAACGGCGGACACCGTTTTTGCTCTGTATTCAGAAAAGTGTGTCCCTAAGATGTTACTCCCCCCCCACACTGGAGACACAAGCCAAACTTTATCTTCTAATTAGCATTAACTACTAGTTTTAATAGAGAAAATGTTAGTTGAAAGAAGAATCGTTATTCCTTAGAGTACTGAAAAACGTGAAGAATAAGACAGTAATTTGAAATTTATATATTTTCTTTACCTGTTCTCGCCACACTTTTTCTTTCAGAGGAAATAAAAATGAACATCTTGAGGCAGCTGAGAAACATGAATTTGAAACACAGAAATTATTTAGCGATAAATTAACAAGGATTTTATTTAAGAAAAATACTTCAGTTTTTTTTACATGCAAATAGTTCGTTGGATATGAACTGGATCGTCAGATACTTCTTTCTGATGTAAGTGATAACTACTCACGTACCTGATGAATATCTGGCAAGATTTGAGTGCATTGGGCAGGATGCGTTGGTTTGAAGGGCAACAGGCAATTAATCACTAAAATATAATTATCTTTGTTTGTGACTTAATCGATTAATGCACGGACTGTATTTTAAAACTGCTGAGAAATTATTAAACGCATGTTGTAATTTTAGAAAAAAATTAAGTAAGTGGCTGTTGAAAAGGCTTCGTAGCGTGATATTTCAAATCATGTTTATAAAAGTCTATTGCTTGTTACAAAGTGAGCCACATTTTAAGAACCAGTGAGCAGCAACTTAGCCATGCCTGGCCTAAAAATTTAGGTATTCGAGTGAAGCATGAGGCCTTTGTTTGTCGTGCCAATCCAAGCCTCAGAGAAAGGACCATGAAAGAAACTTAAGGTTTAACATTTCGAAGAGCGGAGGAAATTTAAATAACCTTGATATTCATCACATGTATCATAAATATAAGCAAACAGGATAGGTTCGTGCCCAGCTGCGGTGAGATAGTTTCCCTTTAAAGCGGGGTTAGAAATGCAAGAAAGTGGCAGGGAAAGGCATGTTTGCCAGATTTCACGCGAAATCTCCCATTTGGCGGTATGCCGTAAAGGAGCGAGAACATCCTAGAACACATTATTAGAGAATATTCTCGAAGGTAGATTAAAGCTGTATACTATATGCTGCCTGTACGAGTATTAGTACTTTGATACTATTGTTATTATTCTGGCATGCAGCGTGAAATTCCTGTCCCTGCTCTTTCCAAATTCCTGAGCAGATTCCTGAGTGAATTCGGAATTGGGCCTGACGTTTGAGGAAGTCCTTAAATAGTATTCACCAGATGAGGCCTAAGCTGAGGTGGGAAAAACTTAGAAATCCATTGTTTTCTGGGAGAAAATGCCAAGACTGGAAATGGCTGTGGTTAGGCACTGTTTAGTTGGTCACGTGGCCTAAAGCAGCGAATCCTAACGTCTGCTGAGGGCCGGAGATTGATTGCCTGAGCGATGGCATGTAAAGTTCAGTATGTCAAAAAAGTCACAATAAAAGAATAAATAGTGTTAAAATTACTTGATAGTTAGTTGCGGTGCATTAATAAGCGAAAAGACATGTCCTCAGTTCAGAGATAAGCTTGAGAGCGATCGACGGAGCTCGAGAGCTCTTTTTTAGTGCGTTGCTGTGAGGCTGTCTTCATCGTGATAGAAGTCTGTGTTGCTGCTTGTTTCAGCGTGTTTATCGTAGTTTATTTATTTTTGGAATTTTCCTGTGTAATATTGGCGAATAAGTTGTGTTTTGCTTCTTCATCAAATGTTAGCATCAATTTCTATCAATCCACGAACCCGTAGAAAGCAACAGTATATAACTATGCTTTTTCAAAGCAGTGAATTCTCTAACAGATTTATGTCATATTCATCATTATTAGTCATTATTATATTTCTATATATAAATTCATGATAATTAGATGTTGCTGTACAACTTTGCAGTTGATTCATTTTTATCTGTATCGCAGAGTACCAAGGTTAGATTTGATGACTTCCTGAAATTTTCGCTGAGGTGGTCTGCAAGTTTTTATTCCACACCTCTAAATTAGATCGCATACTGAGGATAAATTAAAATATAATCTTAACTAAAACTAAACCTCAAACTAAAGATAAGCCTACTGTTATACACTCTGAGAGCATTTATTCCGAACTGAAAGGGATTTGTATTGTATTCTGTACAATGCTATCTACATTTTAACACTATCTGTTAAACATAGAAGATGCCGTGGTTCGCAAAACAAATATTTATTACTGAGATATCAGAAACGCAGTTACTAGAAAATAAAAGTACCATGCCATAAGCGCAAATTATCAGGATTGCAAGTTTTGTTCCGGCTGTCTGAGTTAGTTGCTATAGAGCGCTGAAAGTAGGAGAATGCATGAGTGAGACCTAAGTCAGGATTGCAGATGTTGAGAGGGCGTGACTACCTTGTCACGTGAGGTGTGAAGAAGTCGTTAATACGTTGCGAGATTTCAGGTTAGAAATGCTGAAGAAAACATTAAATGTACAAATTTGCAGAAATAATTACATAAAAGGGAAATTTTTCTAGTAATCATCAGAGTAACAACATATGGAATAAACCAAATTTCATCACATAATACAGTCTAGCAGTCCTGTAAGTTGAAGTTCTGAGTCCATGATAACGTGATGGGGGTGGTGTAAACAGAATCATGGTTTCGTTATAACAGTCGAAGATGTTTCAGGAAAGCAATAATTTTAGTAAGAGTTACAAAATAACAGAATAAATGCAGAACAAATGTTAACACAAAATACATATATTACAAATTCAAAATGTCTATCCCAGAGTATACTTAGAATAAGTCACATATCACGTGAGCGGAATCAGGCATTCTGATTCGCTTAGCGTAAACTTGTCCAAAACTGATGAAAAGAGTAAAATAATTAAATAATGGGTTGCAATAGCGAAAAATCACTATTTTTCTCATGTTCTTCAATATGATAAATATAAGGAATACCAGAAATTTCAGTCCTAAAAAATGCAGAAAGTCCTACAACAAGGCTGAACATAGAACTCAAGTTCTTAGGTCACGTGGGAGGTCACTCTCCCAGGCGCTGACTTTTAAAAGTGCTTCTTGAATATTGAAGAAAAAAGCAGTATTCTGGAGTAAAGTAAAAGAAAATAAGAGTCAAATCACTATGTACAGATCAAAATTTCCACTAACTTGGTATTAGGTGGGGAAATTTTCGTTTCCACTGAATATGTAGGCTGCGAAAGGTCGAAGAAATCGATCATCGGTGAGAACTTCATAATGAAACATGTTGAAATGATTCATAAAGTTACATTCCTGCGCATTTTTGAAGAATTTATCGTTAAGTTTTCCCAGATGTACCGCGATGGTATCAATTTTGAGGTCCTCATGGAGGGTCTTGTTGCGGACATAATAGTGTGCGTTCGTGATAATACGCAGGAGTTTATTTTGAACGATTTGGAGTTTGTTCACATCTGAGTCTTTGGCTGCCGCCCAGGCAGGAGATGCATAAGTCAAAATAGGTCTAATTGTGGAGAGATAAACAAGTCTTTTCTTCCCCAAATCCATTCTAGAGTATTTACCGAGTATAGGAAGCAAACACTTGATAATTTTTTAGTGCAGTGGTTCGAACATTGTTGATATGGTCAGTCCAAGTAAGACGATCATTAAGAGTGACTCCGAGATATTTGGCACTTTTCACTATAGGAACTCTTTCATTAAAGAGGAGAAGGTGATTCTTCAGTTGCTTATTTCTTTTCCTTCTGCGAATGATCAATAATT